TTCAGGAAGAGCCGAAATCTACTGCTCCTCTACTCCCAACTCCTCCTCCTCCTCACAAACTTCCAGGGCATCTGTCCCTCAGGGACCTTGCATGTCCTGAAGTAGGATTGCTCTCTTCATTGCTGTAAACAATGAAGAGACATTGTTGCTCTTCATTGCCAAGAGGACATCTTTTAACTTTTAAGTAAAGCCTAGAGTCCTTTGGAAATACTAATTCCCCCTACCCTGGGTACTTCTTCCTGGAGTACTGGCCCCTGGCTCCAACCCTGCTATCCTCCACTGCCTCTCAGATCCCATTGTCAGCATCACTGCTTCTGGGAAGCCCTTCTCTATCTCCAGGCCTGGTGCACCTTCTTACCCTGTTTACTTTGTAACAGAGAAATCTCCCTACATAAGTGCTATGGGCCTTGCTGTACACTTAGGATCTGACATATATAATACTGCTCAATTAATATTTGATGAAGAAAGAACTAAAGATTCAAAACATGGCCAATGGATGTGGGACCTCCCATTCCAACCATTAGAATGTGCAGACTTCCAAAAGGAATACATTTGCCTTCTACTATTTTCTCTTTTCTAATACTTATTTTTAAATTTTGCTGCTTTTAAAAATTGTTGTTTCTTAGCTGAGCATGATGGTGCACGCCTTTAATCCCAGCATTTGGAAGGCAGAGGCAGGTGGATCTCTGAGTTTGAGGCCAGCCTAGTCTAAGGAGCAAGTTCCAGGACAGACAGAGAAACCCTGTCTTGAAAAAGGAATTAAAATAAAAATTGTTGTTTCTTAATTGAGTGGTGGTGGCACACACATTTAATCCAAGCACTTGGGAGGCAAGGGCAGGTGGATCTCTGTGAGTTTGATGCCAGCCAAGGCTAGAGAAACTCTGTCTCAAAACCTCCCTCCACCCACTATCCTCCGCACCAAAAAAAAAAAAAAAGGTTTCTTTAGCCCGGACAGACATTGGCAAACACAGCTACTCAATTAAGTGCTAAGAAACAAAAGACCAAGACAGAGAATGGGAACCAAGCCCCTAGTCCATCCTACTGCCTCCTGGCTTCCAGTTTCCATTGACTCCGAGGTACCAGGTCTCCCTCTGTGCCCAACCTTTGAACTCTAAGATCCTAGCCCCATGGGCTGACTTCAGGGAATAAAGACTCCTCCAGGCCCACAGGGCAGTCCAGACCCCCAATCTACTGCTGAGTTTTACAGCCTGCACTCCCTACAGAACATCCTGCCTTTGTTCTGAACTGGGACCCTCCTTCCTAACCACTAATCAGAGGTTTTAGGACTAAAAGGGAACTTCCACATTGCTTGGTCTGTTCCTCCCTCCCCCAGCCTCTTCTAAGGGTACATGTATGCTTTTACCACTACAGGCTTGGTCATTTAGATAAAACCAGAAAAAGGCCCAGTAATTACAGATTGGGCAGGTCTCTGGAATGTTTTATATCTAGCTGCCCACCCCCAGGACTCAGCTTAGGAACAGAGTCCCTCACAAACAAGAGTCCCAGTCAGTATGCTCCAGACAAGAAAAAGTGGCTATGCTGATTTGGATTACAACTCCAACAAAGAATTCAAATCTTGCTGAAGAGGGGCAGTAACCAGATAATTTGGAAGCTGAGAAGAGACAAGGGTATCAGCCACATTTGAAGGGAGACTTGGTCTTGCTTAGGGAGGTACAAAATGTTATGGGGGTGGGGGGCGAGTAGACAGCCTGAAGGAGCCAGGGGCCATGCTGCAAGTTTCAGGAGTGGGTTGCCCAAGCTGGCAAGAAGAAGTAACCTGTGCTTCCCTCTTCTGAGGCAGCTGGTAAACCAACTTAGAAGCAAGGCAAATTCTGATATTTCATTCAAAGAGAGAAATCAGTCTCCTCAGCTACTGTTTCATCTCAGGACTCAGTCCTCCTACAGTGGGACAGTGGGTACACTCTGGTGGCTTTGGATTTGGGTAGGAATTCCTAGTGACCACCTTATACTCTGGCCACAATGGCTTTGCACCCCTAACCTTCAGCTCTCCTGTGGAGGGACAGGAAAGAGCAAAGACAGTACAACTTAGGGGAGGAAAGGAAGAAGTAGGGGACTAGAGTTAGACAGATCCCTGATAGCCAGACAGACAGAAAAAGGGGCCATAAGTAGGTAATAAATGGCAAAGTTTCACCTTCCTCGCATGCCTTACCCGAGACAAATCTTAAAAGGTCCTTTAGCCTGTGGACAGGTCAGACAAGTTCTAGGCGGGATCAGGATATGTTTACATCAAGGCTGTGGGCCTATCACCCTGACCAACCCTGAATTAGGGAAGAGGACCCCTTAAAAACTCTTAAACCCCCTCACCCTAAAGGAAAGACAGCTTCAGCTCAGCTTTGCCGAGGGTCTTTCTCTTTGTGGCCTTCCTCTCCCCTAACAGAGGCCTTTCCTCACCTCTACTGTGTTCAAGATTTTTCCCTGCTGTTCTATGTTTCACTCAAGATTTTTCCTGCCTTTTAATTCTTTAACGGGCAGAGAAAACAAACCTGATCAAGATACCTAGATGGTACCAGAAAGAAAACAGACAAACTTCTAAAAGCCAAACAGCATTTTAATTTGGAAATATTCTAACAGGACCAGAGTCAAACAACTGTGCAGGGTCTAAGCAAGCCCCACCTCTTTGAGGACCTTAGTTTCCTAGTCTATAAGACAGTTGGGAACTAGGAGATGAATCATTCAGTAAAATTCTTGCCATGTAAGCATAAGAACCTGAATTTTGAGTTCAAGCACCCATGTGAAAACTCAAAGGCATTGGTCAGCACTGAAATCCTGTGCTGCAGAGGCAGAGATAGGATCCCTAGGGTGCGCTGGTCAGCCAGCCTAGGAAATGACAAGTTTCAGGTTCAGTGACAGACACTGTCTTAAAAAACATAATAAGGGTGAGAGTGAAAGATACCTGACATCAACTTCTCACCTCCATATGCACACATGCATTTGTGTGTATACACACACACACACACACACACGTTGTGTGATATTTTGTTTGTGTTCTGACAAAGCTTACTTGGAGTCAGAGGGCTGAGCTAGCCACTAGCTGACCATAGAGGTTTGGAGGATTCATGTAATCAATGAATACCACAAATGTTAAAAAAAAAAAAAAAAAGATGCCTTCTGGTGTCTACCCCATGTGATTTATCACTCTTCTGGTCCAAGCTCTTTAAATACAAGGAATGCACGTGCTTTATGCCCACCCTGCATATGGTGCGGCATGTCATTGACGCTGGATGAATGGATGTTATCATTACCTGCCCTCACAAGAGCATCAGCAGACACTCTTAGGAGATAATGATAACAAAACATAAAGAGGACTGAAGCCATCTAGATGACCTGCTGACAATTTTGGAACAGTCAGGGTGATACTTGGAGAAAGAAATCAAAGGGTCAAAAGGCAGTGGCAAAACTGAAGCTCTTCTGAGTTCCAGCCCGGTGTCTACAGGCTTTTGACTAAGAAAGAAGGAATGGCACCCTTGTAATCATACAATGCTTGACCTTGTAACCTAGAGTAAATTAATTTGTAATACACATTACTTTTTCTTGGCTAGACTCTGGAGAAGCATTTTCCTTAGCCCTGCAGGACATCCACTAGAAGATGTTAATTAAGCACTTTCTAAACAAGGCTTGTTACATTGTAATGCTCATGCAAATCACCGACAACCTGTTAAAATCAGTTCCTGATCCAGCAGGTCTGTGTAAGGCCTCAATTATGTTCTTTGGACAAGTTCCTGTGATGCCAACTAAACCTTGTTAGAGAACCTAGAGAACCTCACTGTGAGCAGTGAGCTCAAACTCAGTTGCATGAGACAAGCCAAGAGCCTCACAGACTCCACATAGACTGATTGACATGTACACAGCCTGAGCACTGGAAGGGTTTGGTACCTAACAAGAAATAGGCTTCCAGGTCTCCCCTCTCAAACAGGAATGAGAAGAGTCTCCCTACTAATTCAAATACAATAATTTTTATTTGTTTAGCATTTTTGAAATAGTATATCACTTTGCTGCCCAAGCTGTTCTAGAACTTACTATATAATCTAGAATGTCCTTACTTAAACTTATGGCAATCTTCCTCCCAAGTACTAGAGTTACAGGAATGAGTCTAGCTTAAAAACAATGTTTTTAAAGACCCAATAACAGAATCTATTCCCTTAACAAGAAATTAACGCCAGGCGGTGGTGGCGCACACCTTTAATCCCAGCACTCGGGAGGCAGAGCCAGGTGGATCTCTGTGAGTTTGAGGCCAGCCTAGTCTACAGAGGGAGATCCAGGACAGGCACGGAAGCTACACAGAGAAAAACCAAAAAAAAAAAAAAAAAAAAGAAATTAACAACCAGAGTTCCATTTAGAAAACCTTAAAGTATGGCTTGGCTTTAAACAGTCTGTTTATTCTGTTTATCAGGGCAGGTCTACAGTAGTTTTAATGGTTTCTAAAGGCCACACCAGAGTGAAGTAGCTATTTAGTTCTTCCTTCTGCTGACATCAGGCTTGCATAGTTGAAGCTGACTTTGTGTGTAACCAGCAGTGGAGAAAAACCCTGATCCTGGGGAGCCACCCTCTGTGCATGGCACACGAGATCCTCAGGGACACACAAACAGCCCTTCTAAATCAAATATTACATTAAAGACAACTTAAAGAAAAACCAGGCATATTACACACTGTAAACACAAATCAGATTGATGCTGCTCTGTATACTACTGTGGGTTGTCTCCTTTGTTCCAAAGAGACGATAACAGGCAGACCAGAAGCACACAGACATGACTGTTTCTCACCTATGTTTTTTTTTGTATAGGAATCATAAATATTTTGGAAGGAAATTATGTCCCTCCTATAAATGTATAGAAAATCACAACCAAGCAAGTCTTTGCAAACAAATACTACTCTTTTTACAAATGTACACATTTCCCCAGTGAAAGTAGAGTTTTCCCATATATTATCTCTTGCTGAGCTGGGGCCCCACATGACTGCACCTCACAGACCCTGTTTCTTACCAGTGTAGTTTGCAGAATAGTTGTTCGGGTCTAGGAACTTCTTAAGCAGCTCACAATTGGACAAGACATGATTTGCCATGATGACATTAAGGTAGTTCTGCAGGCCTCTCTGTCTCTCAGCTATGAATTCACGGTCCATGTTTCCAATCAGTTTCTTAGGAGGAAGAGGCAGACTCAGGCCTGCAATCTGAAAGAACAGAAGGAAAAAAGGGAGGAAGAGAAGGGGAGCTATAGTTGTGTGATTCACAAGTAAGTTTGATATCTGAATCCTGAACTATCATAGTTCATTAAATATAAAACAATATAGACTTTGAAGATTAGAAATCTTATATATAAATATATATATATGATTTTATATATAAAACTACAAATCTCATGATTGATAAAATTATATACTAGTCATAGTAACTGATTTTTTTTTTACTTTTTCCAAAGTTTTATTGGTATATTTATTATATATAGTACCAAGAGAAGTAGTTTGCTTTTACAAAGTTAGCACTAGCAGTCCTGTGGAACTACATCCTCCACAGCCCATGGACCAGGCTCTCTAGACCTTGGAACAGCCATAGCAGTCCTTTCATCTCATCTTTTGGCATTGGAGAATGCCCAAATTGGTATGTCTTGACTCTTCATTCTCAGGCAGTATTTCTAATATTTTCGTGATGAGTGACGGGATTAAGTTCTCCTTCACAGCTGAGTAGTGGTGGCAAATACCTTTGATCCCAGCACTCAGGATGCAGGCAGATCTTTGAGTTCAAGGCCAACTTGGTCTACAGAGTGAGTTCCAGGCTACAAGAGAAACCCTGTCTTGAGAAACAAAAAAAAAAAGTTCTCTTTCATAGTTCTGACCTTACCTTGCACAGCCTGTCTCCTGCTTATAGTCACATTATCTAATTTTACCATGTTTACACTAGGTGAATGATTCCTTACAATTATATTCATAGCAACTGCTGAGCCTTTTTTGGGTTCTGTGATATAAATAGGATCCTATGAGGTTATCTGCTTCCTGCCTCACAATTCTGCCTTCTTACATATGACTTTTTTTTTAAGACAGGATTTGTGATAGTTTCAATGTAAATGGCCCCCATAATATCATAAGTGTGGCTTTGTTGGAGTGGGTATGGCCATGATAGAAGAGGAAGTTTGTCACTGTGGGGGTGGGCTTTGAGGTTTCCTATGCTCAGGATACCACCCAGTGTTTCAGTCGACTTCTTGTTGCCTGCAAGATGTATAACTCTCAGCTACTTCTTGAGCACCATGTTATGTCTGCATATTACCATGCTCCTTATCATGATGATAATGGACTGAACTTCTGAAACTGTAAGCTGTCACCTCAATTAAATGTCTTCCTTTTTAAGAGTTGTCATGGTCATGGTATCTCTTCACAGGAATAAAAACCCTAACTAAGACAGAAGTTGGTACTAGGGACTAGGGTATTGTTGTGATAGGCCTGACTGTGTTTTTGTTTGGAGGAACTTGGACTTTGGGAGTTTGGGTTAGAAAAGCAGTGGAATGCTTTAAGCACTGCTTAATGGGCCATACTAGTAGGAGCATGGAAGACAGTCATGCCAAGAGTTATTTGAACTGTGGGTGCTCCTTCAAGAGGTTTCAGAGGAGAAGAATTTTAGTATGTTGCCTAGAGATTGTTCTTGTAATATTTTGGTGAAGAAAGTACCTTTGTTGAAAGAGTCTACCTGAGGCTAAAGTGAAGAGTTTTGAATTAATTCCATTGGCAGAAGAAATCTCAGAAAAGACTAGTGTAGACTCTGTCATATGGTTATAAATGATAACTCTAATGGAAATTTATAATCAAAAGGAGTAAAAGGAATGGCTTTAAGTGCTGTCTTCAAGAGATAAACAAATTAAGAAATGGAATAAAGGGAGTTGTGATCTCAGGGGCAAGATTCCACTCAGCTAACTTTCCAATTTGTGAAAAGGAACTAAAGAAAAGCTTAGAGCTGAGTATAGTGGTATACACCTTTCATTCCAATACTCAGAAGGAAGAGGCTAGCAGATCTCTGAATTTGAGGCCAGCCTAGTCTAGAAATGTAGTTTTAGAACAGCCAAACTTAGGCAGTGAAGGACAGAAAGCTGGTGAAGATGTAATTAAATGAGGGTGCCACGTTCAAGCTCCAGCAAGCAGCAGTATTTAGCAGCTTTGGCCACATGGTTCTAGCTTTAAAGTTAAGGATAGAAGAAGTAGGTAATGGAATATGCCTCTGAGCTGCAAAGGCCAGGCATGTGTCAGGGGTGCCCCTAAATGGAGGCCTAGAGAGGCCATTGCATGAAGCTGTGAAGTTGAAGCCTGGATTGCCTTGGAGAACCCAAGATGTTAGAAATGCCATAGTTGTGGGATAGCTGCTGAGGAGAGCTGCTAACAGGGAGTGCAACCATCCCAAGAGAAAGAGGTGTGTTGCAGTCAACAAAGCTAAATAGAGTTGGAGATCTGAAGAGCACTTTGACATCAGACATAGTGATGCAGAGTTTGGGATTTTCCTAGCTGGCTTTTGGTCTTGCTTTGGTCCAGTATTTCCTTGCTATGCTCCCTTCCCTATATTTTTGGAATGGTAATATATATCTTTTGCCATTATATGTTGGAAGTATATGATCTGTTTGGTTTTTCTTTTTTTTTTTAATTTTTAATTTTATGGGGGATTACAGAGATTGCATGAATCTCAGAAGAGATTTTGAACTTTTGAACATTGTCCAGACTGTGATAGACTATGTGAACTTTTGAAGTTGGACTAAATGCATTTTGCATTATGATACTGTTACAAGCTTATAGGGGTAAGACAGTGGAATGTGGTAATTTGATTGTAATTGGCCCCCATAATCTCATAGGGAATGGAACTATTAGGAGGTATGGCTTTGTTGGAGGAAGTGTGTCACTGTGGCTTTGAGGTCTCTTTTGTTCAAGCTTTGCTCAGTGTAATCTGACCATTTTCTACTGCCTTCTCATCAAGATGTAACTAGCACCACATCTGCCTGCAGGCCACCATGCTCCCTGCCATGATGATAATGGACCGAACCTCTGAACTATAAGCTGCCACCTCAATTAAATTTTTTCCTTTATAAGAGTTGCCATGGCATTAATCTATGGTGATACAGGTCATAGCAATTATAATGTAGTGGGAGGATAGGCAGTTTTTGATTATTAGAGGCCTTAAATTCTTGAAGATTTATGCATTCTGTAGCTGGATCTATGTGGTGGCTACCAGGTATATTTAGTCACATTGATTGAAGCATAAACTGCCAAGTTTTAAACTGTATTGTAGCTGCTATATAGTAACAAACAGGGGGAGGGGGAACCTTCATCTAAACAGTAGGAAAACAAGGCCTATAGACGTATGCGATATGTAGTCTAATATATGTGTGTTCATGAATGCACGCTACTCCTGTAGATAAACACGTATTAACAAATGAGTTCTGAGGTTGAAAAGGCTGGGCGCTAGCTGCTCCCCTAACAGGAGAGAAACTGGGTGCTCTTTCTTCCTTGTCATTGGAGTAGCTATCGAGGAATGAGGACGGAACGAAGTAGGATGGCACCCAGGAAGTGCTGACACGGAGGACGGAATGAAGTAGGATGGCACCCAGGAAGTGCTGACACAGAGAAGCCATTTACAGAGCTACAGGCTCTGCAGTGTTTGGCTAAGTAGATTCCTCAAGAAAACAACAACACATATTTTCCCCCTGTGGCTTTGCTTTGCTGTGGTGTATTGCTTGTAAGACAAATGGACAGAAAAATGTACCACTAAAACATGCAATCAGGAACAACCTCAAGAGAACACAACCAGCACACTCAGGAGGCCTCTCTTTCAAAAGGGGCCCACGGCTTAGCCGAAGCTCTGGCTATCACTATCTTGAAATTCATAATAATTATATTTTGAATTTTTTTGTTTGAATTTTAATTTCTGTAGGTGAAATCTGACTAAAAATGGAACTTATGCCTGAATAGAGGAGATACATACCAGACAGGAAAAAAAATCCTGCATTTCAGACTTTTAAATCCTTTTTTCTATTTTAAAAAATTATTATTCAGTCAGTTGAATACAGTGGCAATGTATAAAGTGGATAAATTTTGTATTTAGAATATATGTTAAATCTACATCAGTTGTAGGATTAATCACTGTTGTGACTTAATGAGTGCTTTAAAATTTTTAATTATTAAAAAAAAAGAAGAGTTGCCATGGTCATAGTGTCTCTTCACAGCAATAAAAGCCCTAAGACATGATTTCTCTGTGTAGCCCTGACTGTCCTGGAACATGCTTTGTACACCAGGCTGGCCTCAAACTCATGCAGAGATCTGCCTGCTTCTGCCTCACAAGTGCTGGAATTAAAGTTGTGCACCACCACACTTAGCTGTCATTTGGATTTTCAACCTAAAATGTTTGTTATGTTTTTTACTTCTGCATTTCTATTTGTCCTTGAAGGTATACATTCATGTGTGTGTGTGTGTGTGTGTGTGTGTGTGTGTGTGTGTGTGTGTGTGTAGTCAACTTATTATTGCTTACAATAGCTAGGGAGGAAGAAAAGGTAAATGTGGGTGCTCAGTCTCCTGTCATTTTCCAGACCACTTCAAACTTTTGAGACTATTTTTAAACTTGAAAAAACAAAGCAAGGTCAATTTCAAAGAGCAGTATTATAGTGCTATTTGACACTTGTACAAAAACAAAGCAGCAATCCAAATGATATTCATATTGCATGACTGAGGGTAAGGCCTAATGAGAAAGACATCTTAAGTTTAGAAAAGGATGCATAGTAAGCTATTCACAGGGGCAAACTTAACTCAGGTTCCACTCTAGATTCTTCACGCAACAATGACACAGTCAAATGAATGATATAAGATGTGTGTGGCTGGAATGAGAATCACCCCTATAGGCTCATGCATGTGGTAAACACATGGTCCCCAGTTGGTGGTTCGGTTCGGGGAAGTTTAGGAGGTGTGGCCTTGCTGGAGTAGGTATGTCACTGGAGGCAGGTTTTGAGAGCCTGCAGCCTTCCTGCAGTTTGCTCTCTTTTCTTCATGCTTGTACTTCAGGATATGAACTCTGAACTGGCTGCCAGCTGTCATGCCTGCAACCTGCTGCCATGCTGCCCCCACCATCATGGGACTCTAACCCTCTGGAAAGCTAAGTCAAAATAAACTTCCTTCTATGAGCTGCCTTTGCCACGGTGTTTTATCAGAGC